TCAAACCCTTTACACGTACCTTGAATAATAGCCTCATTTTAATCCTGAATCTTGCAAGTATTTCGATCACTGATACCTCAGAAATCAGGGTAATCAGATGCACTACGATATCCGTCATTTGCCCTTCTCCAATTTGTGAGCGTTCATGGAGCAAAATCGGCACTGAAATTCGTACATTTCACAGCTTCAAATGTCGCACTCGGTTAAGCCAAATTCTCGTGTTAGCAGTGGCTTATCTTTCCATATTGGACCATATCATAATTGTGCGAGATTCAGGTGAAGTCTCAAAATTATAGTGCGCTCTGCAAACATATTGTATCTTTGGTCTTGCCTTAATCATTGACGAGTAGAAAGATGCTCGCTTTGTTCAGCTGTCCAATACAGCCGTCTACATATGGAGATTCACCATTATGTCATTCAAATCTATGTAAACCTGTCAGGTTTGTAATGACTGTTCTGCTACTTCGTTTACATTCTCCGTTTGCTATAGAGCATCTGTACTTGCAGCATATAAAAACAATGTGCTTATGAAGCTGCGTTTGTTTTGGTATTATCATCTGGCCTGGAGAGCGGCTTTCATTTAACATACTGAGAGCTCGCTAGGGGACCAGAGTCAGTCGTTAGTGTGTCTGAGTGGAGACCACACCTCTTTTTCTAATTTCCGAATCTGCTGAGATTGCCCAAAGGAGAATAAAACAATTCTTGACTGATACTGTCATTAAGTTATTAATCTGCGTCAGAGCCTACGCTGTCACATGCCATCCAGCCGCCCAGAGGTCGTCGTCTGTCGTTAGATCGACGATCTCTATGATGTATAGCAACCGCGATTGAAGCATGGCAAATTACCGCCGATTTTTTTGTGGTAAAACATATTCTTTTATCAGCACAGTTATTAGACAAACCGCCAAAAGATCGTCAAGCTGTTATATTACAGTTTATCTTTAACTGACAGCTACTAAATTAATCAGGTGATCATGACAAATGGACACTTCTGAAGCCGTCTGTGCTTCGCCAGAGATATCCTGATCGTCTGGAGATCATCATCTGCAGAGAAGAATCCAAACGGCTAAGTTAGCTGGAAGAATCCGCCTGTTCATTGGTTAGCGGGCCCTGCGAAATTCAACAGAAAGCTAAGAACGGCACTGAGCACTTCCGCATGATTGAAAATGTTCCTGCATAGACAACTGCTTCTGTCATTGAAGCCAAAGGTCTTCGATCAGTGCGTACTCCCATCGACAATGTACGGGTGCGAAACTTGCACCTATGGGTATGAAAGTTGTTCAGCAGCTACAGGTTATGCAACGTGGCACGGAACGGTGCATGTTTGGCATGGCAAACAATCGAAGCAGGGGTACAAGCGAATGAATGAGGGCACAAGTAGCTGCCTGCGAGTGTCATTGCATGGGCGCAGGAGTCGAAATTGCGACGGATGAAACGCGTTGTAAGAAGAATCGATGATCGTTGAACGACGCAGGTGTTTTACCGGGTTCAAAAGACTGCAATCGATCCATGTCAAGACCTCTGCATTTAGGAGGAATGGACGAAAGCTGCACAAGTCAGAAGTGTGTGGCACAGGTTTATCGTGAGCCTTCATGCAGCAGAGCGTCGGAAAAGACTGTTCAACTTATTCCGTCGTTTCGCTTCCCTGTTCCACTTGCAGCTCAGGGTTGTCTGATGGGTTTCTGGTAACCTTCGACTTCCAAACGCTATGCAAACATCCGGCTTCTGCAGCTGTTAGACACGGAAACCATGATCTGACAAAATCGACCTACCCCTAAAACCTACTACTCGCAGTACTCACCAGGAGGATATTAAATGCGTACTCTGGTCGACAAGTATCCTGTCCTATATCATGATCTGTGCTTTCCTCGCGGAATGGGACTATTTTCTTTGCAACATCAGCAGTTTGGGGGCAGGCGGTCGAGAACAGTCGAGAAACGTCCACAATCATTGTTCAAAACTCTGCTATGCTGTCATTATTCTTATGCTACTGTGTCAATGTTGGTTTCTTTCTAGCACTGTCGCCTCTGTAGTGAAATCTGGTCACTGTTTGTTTTTGTTGGAAGCCTGGGTTATGTTGACACGACTCTGTCTCACATCACTGATCATAATTCCAGTTCGCCAGAGTTGTACGTTCACCGTTAAATAAGGTAGAACTGCTCGAATTTTCCAAGTTGGCCCAGCAGAACAGTTTTTGTTGAATGATGACAACACAGTATTCCTGCATCTTTAGTTATTTCCATCCATTATCAGTGGTAAAAGACTTTGGCGTGCATGGTGAAAGAAAATAGACGGACAGTTATTTAAAGGTAGTGATCTTATCGTTAAAACAAAATACTTGGTCTTGAACTTGGCATTCAGGATCAGTTTGTTAAGCTACTTATAATGCTGAACTTCAAGATAGAATCAAAGGCTAATTTGTCCCATGTGCTTACCTCTTCAAGTTGGACTGCTCTAGCAGTTGAAAATATTTTTTATCCAACAGTTTTATAATCACGAGGGCAGCTTGAAGCAATAAATTTCTTGGTTAATAATAATTTTGATCTTGTATAGTAACCTCATGTTTCAGGCCATTTCAAACAGCGCAGTTCGTACTGTGCTTGCCTTCTTGCATAGCCTAAATTCATTTAGGAGGTTTAAAGAGCACCGCAACCTATATGCAATGTCCTGATATTTCACATAAAATTCATTAAGGAAAATAGAAGAAGGAATTTGCTTAACGGCTAATCCTTACAGTACAGAATTTAAATGCTAATTTAATTTCTATCATATATGCTAATTACTGTTATTTTAATTTTATGGCCTCCATTTTACGCATAACCATACGTCTACTTTAGTGAAAATGAAAGGGCGAGTCAAAGTAAGATGACTTACGACGATGAAAATGAGGTGATAGTGTGTTTGTAGTTTTTGTGGTAGTTATAGAGATGGTCGGACAACGAAACAATACTGAATAATGACTGACAGATCTCTGAGTAGTTGATCATTGCTTATTTTGTTGAACTTGCGTACAAAACATGACGCTTGTTTCGGAATGAATTGGACTAATGTACCCAAATCGACCATAGGCAGATGTTTAATGCTACGGAATCTGATGTTCGTCTGTTTTGTGATAAATTAGGTTTCGAATTAAGAGTGAATTGAACCGAAAGCCCTTGAATGAAGCATTAATTCCAAAGAAGCTGATCGCAAACAGGCTTCATTCTCTTTGGTCACGTGGAAAGAGGATTCGACGAGCACGTTGGACATGGGATCTAATCATGGATGCTGTGTCAGAGGAGAAACGAATGGAACACCACCAACGAAAAGTGGCCTTACGTCATAAAGAACGAAATGAAGCTGCTACGAGTGCGAGAGATTCGACGGAATATCGAAAAATACGGAAACGGTTGACTCGATCAGGCGGACCGTTGTTAAATACAACATTATATTAAAATGAACAAAGAGGAAGCAGTGAAAGCCCTTTAATTGACAGACCAGTTTGCGTGCGAAACGCTGTCTGTACGCTTTATTCAGTGGCTGACTCCCAT